CCCCTTTAGAGACAACCCTACCAAGAGATCTACATTCCGTGTCTAAGAAGTAGAAGGAAAACACAAGTAAAGAAGCGTTTTTGGTCACTAGTCTCTGTGGGTTGAAGGGGACAGGCCCTGCTCCAAAGAAACCTTCCATTTTGTCACCTCTTTCACTACTCTCTCCCTTTGCACCTCCTCCCTTTCCCTCATGCGGTGGCATTCTGTACCAACACAGAACCAGAAGAAGGCATATATGTGTCCTGGCCAAAGTTTGAAAGTGATACTCCAACAATGACAAAGTGTGAGCCAATGGAAAGAAGCAGTTCCTTTTGGTAAATGTGTACCACTCTGATTCTGCTTTTGCTAATGGAAATGCTGAAAACACCATCATTTCAGCTTAGTCCAACTTGCTTTTAAGAAAGTAAATGTCTTAGCTATCTATCATTCATTCATACATTCATTCATCCATCCATCCATGCATCCATCCATTCATTCATCTATCCATCTCAAAACAACAAAGATTTGCTAAGTACTGTTGTGAGGAATATGAAGAAGAATGAGTTTCTGTTTTTAAGAATCTGAAAATCTAGTTGGAGAAAGGTCTTCAATAAGCTGCCTTCCTTACAGACGTTTTCTTTGGTGGGGCTATACTTTGATCACTGAGTACTCCTTCAAACAGAGCAGATCACACTCTCTCCAGACTTCATCTGTGTGATTACTACCCATTTCTTTCCATAAATTCTCTGTAGAATAGAATAGAAGGCTCCACAGAAGCCTGTCTTCCCCTGGCTCTTTAAAGAGCTTACTTAGCACACTAGGGGCTCAATGTAGGGGATTTAAAAAAATCTGACTTGACTTGATTTGGCTGTCTTGCTAACAAGATACAATTCTGTCTGAGTCTAATTCACTTTGGAAAGATGTCTTGGATACTTGTTCATTTAAACTTTAATATACAATTAGGATCATAGATTTTGATTGGAAAGGTCCATAAAGGTCCAACTTCCTCATTTTACAGGTGAGGAAACGGAGGCCCAGAGACTTTAAGTGATTTGCTCAGGGACACACAGCTAATAACTGTGTGAAGGAGAGATTTGAACCTTGGTCTTCCTGACCAGTGCAATAGATAGATCACTAGGCCTGGAGTTAGGAAGATATGAGTTCAAATCTGGCCACAGACACTAACTGTGAGACCCTGGGCAAATCACTCAAGTCCTGTTTGACTCAGTTCCTCAATCTGTAAAAATACTGGAGAAGAAATGACAAATCACTACAGTATCTTTGCCAAGGAAATCCCATGGACAAGTTCATGGGTTCACAAAGAGTGAAGATTCTTGACTTTGAAGTCAAGAACTCATTTTGTTGATCCTGTTATCCACAGTTGGTTGTATACATTCCTACTCCCTTAGTCCTGGCTCTGACTCGGTTCTCTTATGCTCTTTCCATATTTCTTCCTATCAAAAGCTACCCTTTGTCATCTGGAAGAGATCTGATGAACTCATTCTCAGTAAGAGATACATGACTTAATGTGTCTGCTCTCTCAGTGAGTATGATCTTCACAAGGATGAAGTGAATCCAAGGATTGAAACAAACTAGAATGAGGTAATTTTAGGCACCAGAGGTAGACCTATGAGGGAGAATTTTTTTAGGTGGGGGGGGAAGTTTTCCCTTCTCTCAAATCACAACAATGGCACTCTCTCTGCCTACTCAAAAGGTTGTTCCTGAAAAAGAGATACAAAGTCATGGAATCATGAAAGATAAGCAGTAGAAGGACCCTTAGAGATCATTTAGTCCAGCCCCTTCATTTTACAGATAAATATACAGAGGCCCATAGAACAAAGAAGTTTGCCTCAGGTTAATTAGAAAAAGAGCTAGGAGCAAAATCCAGGCTCCTGGCCCCCAATCCAGTGTTCTTTCTATTCAAAGGGCATTTGGGCATTTGCCCTGTGACCTTTAGGGACAGCTTGAAATTTTTTTTGCTTTCAGTGAGGGAGGAAGCAACTGTGGGTGGGGCTCTAGCAACTTTTGCCTAGCCTTGTGAAGATTTGCTTCCTAAGCTTTAAGGATGTATCCTTACCCTCTTTCTCCCCAAAGTACTTTCCCTTGTCCCTAGGAATAGTAGTTTTAGGGACCCAATCTTTAAAAAAAAGGGTGGGGGGAGCTCAGATAGAAGCATTTATACAAGCCTGCTATGTCACCACAGAGAAAGAACATGGCAATGAAGTCAAGTAATTCTCAGTGGGCAAGAAACAAAGTTACAGAATCTCCAAGTTGGAGGAGACCCGAGGGGCCCTGTGTTCAGATCTGGACTTAAACTATAATCCCTCCCTTGCAACAGTATCTAGGGGAGTGGTCATCCATTCAGCTTCTTTCTGTTTGAAGATCTCCAGTAAAGGGGAAGCCTCCTCACTACTTCCTGAAGCAGCCCATTTTTTCTTTGGCATAGCTCTAATCATTATTCACACTACTGGGTTCAGTCCTGCTTTTCTTGAAATGGAACCTCAACTTGCTTCTTTGTAACTACTTCCATTATTCTCTGCCAGCCACGTCCCATTGCTTTTGGTTCTGCTCTCTGGAGCTAATCTCTCTTCCACCTAACTGTACTTCAGAGACTTGAAGACAGTTCTGATGTCTCCCTGTCTTAGACATAATTAGGTGGTGCAGTGGATAGAGAACTAGGCCTGGAATCAGGAAGACCTGAATTCAAATCTGGCCTTGACACTTACTGGCTGGGTGACCCTGGGCAAATTACTTAGCCTCTGTCTGTCTCAGTTTCCTTATCTTTAAACGGGGAAAATAATAGTACTGACTTCTGAGGGTTGTTGGAGCATTTGCAGAAACATTGTTGTGCATTGTAGAAGCATTTATACAAGGCTGCTATATCACCATAGAGATAATAAAAAGAGACAATATTTGTAAAGTACTTAGCATCACGCCTGGCACATTTCCTTCATTCTTCCTGTAAATCTTCTTTTTCTCAGATTAAACATCTTCAACAAATCTTGGTTTAGCTTGTTTGTTTGTTTTTTCTTTTTGGTGAGGCAATCAGGGTTAAGTGACTTGCCTAGGGTCACACAGCTAGTAAGTGTCAAGTATCTGAGGATGTATTTGAACTCAGGTCCTCCTGACTCCAAGGCCAGTGCTCTATCCACTTCGCCACCTAGCTGCCCCTAAATCTTGGTATAGCTTGAATTTGGGGCCCTTCACCATCCTATGTGCTTTCTTCTGGACAATCTCCAACTTATCAATAGCTTACCTAGATTGTGGCTTCTGAGACTCAATGCAATACTCCAGAGGTAGTCTGACTGGGTCAGAGTATAGTAGGATGATGTATGCCTAGTCCTGGACACTGCCTCTTGAATGCAGCCTAAGTCTGCGTTAGCCTTCTTAAGAAGCTTCCTTCTTCCCAAGGTCTTTCCTGAACCTCCCCATTGCTAGGGTCTTGTGTTTATGTATGATTATGTATGTTGGCTGTATTATGATATTGATTCATACTGATCCAGGCAAACTGGCTGTGCTTTTCCATTTTATGTTTGTAAGGTTGATTTTTGAACTGCATTTGAGACTTTATATTCGTCCCTATGAAATTTTATATTATTAGATTTGTCCCGTTGTCAAGTCTATGAAAAAATCATGACCCTGTTACCCAGTGTTAGCAATCTCCCCAGTTATGAGTCAGTAATTTCCCCAGCTTTGTACCATTTACAAATTGTCTAAGAGTGCCAAAGCGTTTATAAAAATGTTAAACTGCAGAAACTCTCTACTGGCAGCTCTCTACTGAGACACTCTACTGTAGACCTCCTTCCAAGCTGACATTAAGCTATTAATGACTACTTTTTGGGTCAGGTCTTCTTTGGGACAGGCAGGTCTGCAGGTGAGGGCTTGGTCCCTAGAGACCAGTAAGTCTTTCTGAATTTACTGGGATATCATCAGCATAAAGAATCACACAGACTGCCTTTCCTTCCCTTGCTTTGGTGGTGGGGGGAAAAGTATTTGTCTGCATGTTGTAAACGTTATGTTTTCCAGCAGAAAGGTATTTGGACACTTGCACTAGTTAAAGAAGATGAAGCTCAGTGATCTGGAGTTGAGGTGAATTGTTCTCCTACAGCGCGAAGGGAAAGGAGAAGAGGAACACTTTTGAATGAGTCTCAGGACAACATTTGCTTCCTTTGATTTGGAAATGTGAATGTTCATCTAATGTTCATTATTATTATTTTGTTTCTTAGCCCATGGACAGAATTACTGTATAATAAGACATGATTTCCTTAAACGATTTTGGATCCATATTTGTTTTATCTTAACTTCACTGTGGCGCTTTGATCACCTGGAAATCTTCCTCTTAGACTAAGTCAAAGGGTGGCAATGGGGATGTGTGGTTGGTACTCATGGTATCTTGGGGCTGGTGATGCTGGTGGAAGGGAACCTACACCTGTATGCTTTATCTTAGGTCGGGAACAATGGCGGGAGCAACAGTGGTATAAGACCTTGGATACTCCAGGGGTCTCAGATTGGGGCAGTGGAAAGAGCACTAAACTGGGCATCAGTCCTGGTCTGGCTAACTAGTTGTGTGATGTCAGGCAGGTCACTTTGCTATTCTGGGCCTCAGTTTCCTCATCTGTAAAATGAGAATTTTAATTTAATGATATGATTCCAGGGGCCTAATGCCATAGTGAAGAGAAGGAAACTCATTTATTCAACACCTGCTATGTGCCAGGCAAAGTCCTAAGTGCTTTACAAATGCTATCTCACTCGGGCCTCCCAACAACCCATGGAGGTGAATGCTCTTATTATTGCTATTTTATAATTGAGGAAATTGAGGCAGGCAGAGGTTAAGTGACTTGTCCACAATCACACAGCTAATAAGTGCCTGAGGCCAGATTAGAACTCAGATCTTCCTGACTCCATGTCCAGCACTCTGTCCACTGCACCAGCTAGCCTGACCTGGCATTCTACTTAATACAGTATCTCGGCAGACCCAATTCACATTTCCATTTTATTTTTGTTTGTGTGTTTCTTCTAAGCTATGCATGGGACGTTTGTGATCCTTTTGCCGCTCAGCCTGATCCTGATGGTCTTTGGAGGGATGACGGGATTTATAAGCATCCTTGCCAGAGCCTACCTCCTTCTCCTCATGACTGGGATGCTTTTCCTTTTTGGAGGTACCATGCTAAACCCTTTTTGGGGTTCAAAACTGTAAGAAATAACTATGTAGAAACATGAGCCTTGGGCTGAGAGTAGAAGCTTCCATATTTCCTTTAGGCCCTCCAAGGAGATCATTTCCAGGGTATTTGCACTGAATCCTCAGAGTACCAAGTACATACCCATTACATAGCCTTTGCAAAAGCTATCCTTCCATGCCTTAGAATGCACTCCCTCCCCTTCGCTTCTTAGAATCTCTGTCTTCTTTCAAAGCCGGGCTTAAATGCCCCCTCCTATTCCAGGCCTTTCCTAATTCCCACTCCCTGTACTTGTTGGTGACCTCTCAACCTAGAATTATGTTTTATGCATTTTGTATATAATTATATATGTCCGTATTGTGTCCCCTAAGAGAATGTAATACCCCTTGAGGAAAGGGACTCTAATTTTTTTTTTTGTCTCAGTTCCTTTCATTTTGTCTTTGTGCTACAGTGCCTGGTACATAGTAGGTGCTTAGTAAATGCTTGTTGAATGAATACTCTTTTTGCTTTTCAAATCAGGAAATGATAATTCCTGCAGTCCTCAAGTTTTCCTGTTGTAAGTGGCATATGAGAAATCCATCTGTTTCTGGTGTGATCCAGGCAGCTTTGCAATATATTCTTCTTTGTTGAGATGGTCAGGAAATTGAAGACCTGGTATTATGGGGCCATTCCTGCCTATATTCATTGGGGAGAATAGGTTGTAGAGATGAAAGGATGATCATTTTTCTGAACCTTGCTTGAAGCACTTGACAGTGACAATCACTTTATGCTAAATCCTGTCAAATTAGAAGAAAATTTAAGTTAGCAAAAAATCCAATCGTTATTAAACAGGATATCAATTTTCATATGTTCTCTGTGTCAATGAGTAGATATTTCTTAGGAATTATGAACTAGAGAGGAGGAGATGAGGGCAAGAGCTGTGGCTAAGGCACCCTAAGTGACTTCCTCTGAAAGAAATGGCTTGAGGGGAGATTATTATTTTTTTTGAGGTGCTCATAAGGAAATAACTAGAAGTATGGATTTTTTTTGGGGATGAGGCAATTGGAGTTAAGTGACTTGCCCAGTGTCACACAGCTAGTAAGTGTCAAGTGTCTGGTTTGAGGCCAGGTTTGAACTCAGGTCCTACTGACTCCAGGCCCACTGCTTTATCCACTGTGCCACCTAGCTGCCTTCCAGAAATGTGGATTTTGAAACAAAAATAGAATAAATATTCCCCCCCCCATGAGACAGATGGCTTCAATGTACTGTATTTCCATACTTTTTTGTGTGTGTGTGGTAAATCAGCCTTTGCATGCACATTTCCAAATTGCATTTGATGAGGCAGTAAGCCAAACCTTTTCTAGTAAGAGTCTAGAGAAGGGATTGTTCACTTGTGGATGCTTCTTTTTCATTACTCAGCCTCAGATCTAGGGGAGGACCCAGGACTGCTTAAAGACCATCATGGCCCCACAGGGGACATGTTCCCTCACAGGGAGGGACAGTGTGCATGTGTGCATGTGTGTGTGTGTGTGTGTGTGTGTGTGTGCGCGCGTGCGTGCGTGTATGTGTATGTGTGGTCAGGGAGTAAGTGAACAAATCAGTCAACAAGCATTTATTAAGCACCTACTATGTGCCAACCATTCGGAAAAGTCCAGAAAGGAGCACGTGCAATCTCTTTTGTGGAGTGAAGGAGGGCTTTTAAGAACATAGAGCAGGTGATGTAGATTCTTCCCAATTGGAGCAGGCTTCTTGGTTTTTCTTTTTAAGAAACTGTACAAGGAAACCATTGCACAACTTCATTTAAAATATTTTCTTTTATGTACCAGCTGTGTTTAAAATATTGGGGCAGGGGAGAGAGGAGCCAAAGTCACTTCAAGAAGTCTGAATAGTTAGTTAAATGTAATCTTTATCAGCACTATGCAAAAGAACTTTTGTACCCATGCTGAATTCATCATTTGGATGGGAAACATAAAGGAACTTTCTTTTCCCCTCAACAATAGAGAGAAATGAAACAGTGTCTGATAAAATGTTCTGTTTTTCTTTCTTTTGTCATTTCCCTTTTTCTTTCTTGACCCTTTCTACATGCCACAGATGTGAAGAGATGTACACAGATGATTGTGGGAGGCAAGTCATATGTAGGTGTGGAGCTACCTAGGTTTATCAGTGGGAAACATCTAGAAAACTTGAGATCTCCTGGACTTACAGAAATAAAACAGATAAGATCCTAACAGAAAATCATTAGCACGATTTAAAAGAATTCTAATAGCTAGTTCAGGCTAAGTTCTAAAGCCCAGGAATCTGTAGGGCGGGACAGAAAGAGTCATCTGTGGATAGACAATATCTCTGGCTTTTAAGGATTTTTAAAAATCAAAAACAAACTAAAATGATTGTTTTTCAACGAACAAGAGTTTATTTTCTCTCCCTCCCCAAATGGACCCAACAATAACAAAAAAGAAAAAAAACTCCAACAAATTCTTATAACAAGTATTCATAATGAAATAAAACAAATTCCCACATTGGCCATGTCCAAAAATGGCTCTCTTTCTATACTTAGAGTTCATCACCTCTGTGTCAGGAGGTGGATAGCATGGTTCCTCACTGGTCCTCTGGAATCATGGTTGGTCACTGTATTAATCAGAATTCTTAAGTCTTTCAAAATTATTTGTCTTTATAAGGTTGTACCCTGGGTATAAAGTAGAAGTTATTTTGAGGGTAGGAAGAATAGCCAAATTTAAGCAATGATTGAAAACAGCTAAATTTAATGGATAACAATATTTAAATTATACCACATTTTTATTTATTTAATTCTTTTTCATAGAATCTCTTATTTTATGTTTCTTAGTAACTTGTTATTCTGAAGAGAGGTTTTTTAGAAATAAAGTATGAGTATGAAAATGTATTCTTTTCCTTTTTCTTTCAGTTAGTTAACTGAGGAGAACCTATTCAGTGAGCCTCTATAATCAGAGATGGATTCTAGCACATACCAACTACCTATTCTCTGTTGGCTGGCATTGCAGTTCTAATACCCAGGAGGAAATATAAGCTTACCGTGCACAATCTTCTCCCCAACTGATATCATTAAGGCCTTATAACTACATCTTAGTACATCATCCCCAACTGAGAACAGCCTAGTTTTTTTCCGTGTGATTCTCCCCTCCCAGCTCCACTGCCTTATGTTCCTATGGAATTATCTGACTCTGTAACTTGCTCTTGCAAATCAATTAACTAAGTTAGACTGTACTTGTAATCAGTCTTCATAGCATAGCTGGCTTTATGTCTTGAAAGAAAATGTGATGATAAATATCGCAGATGCATGAAAAATATCAAATAAGGAGGAGACCAGAAAAATATAGGGGCAGCTGGGTGGCACAGTGGATAGAGTACCGGCCCTGGAGTCAGGAGGACCTGAGTTCAAATCTGACCTCAGACACTTACTAGCTATGTGACCCTGGGCAAGTCACTTAATCCCAATTGCAAAAAAAAAAAAAAAAAGGAGATGATTGGAATTCTCTTAGTGGCAAAAAGGGGGAAGCATGAAAGTTTTTATAAAACAATTGAGAGATTCTGAATGTATGGAACCCCACCCTCCACTCCCACCTCTACCCAAGGTACTCATTACTACACAGAACAGGAGACCTGAATGTACTGTATTCTCTGCTCCTGGTGTTTGAAATTCTCTGTGTCAACCCAGTCTTTCTCCCCCAGAGGTGAGTCTTTTTCCACATATTCCCTTTTGGGAAGTAAACATGATGGGTAAATTTTTTTTGTCATTTATATAATTAGGAAAGTAAAAGCCTATTAAAATTGTATTAACTCCAACAGAGAATTCAAGTAATCTGTGTAGCTCTGAGGGGTTTGGATAGCTTTGCTTATAAAATTTCATGACAAGGTGGGATGATTGTTGGTGAAGTTGATTTGTCTCTAGAGTTTAGTGAGTATCAAGAAATCCCAGAAGCAGAGAAGCAGAGCATAGCTTCAGGACTGTGAGAGATGATCAACTAAATCCATCCCTCTCATTTTAGAGTGGAGGAAACTGAGGATCTGTATGTGAAGTGATTTGTCTGAAGTCAGTCACATAGCTACCTAGTGGCAACAGTCCAGTCCTAGAATTCAGGTGTCCTGTCTCCTACTCCAGTATACTTTCTACTACATAGAAGTACTTTTATACTAGCATCAGGAGTCAAGAAATGAATCTTCTCCTATTGTTTTTTTTTTTTTTTTTAGCCTTGGTGACTCTCTCTGGGATCAGTGTCTACATTGCCTACTCAGCAGCAGCTTTCCAAGAAGCACTCTGTCTCTTGGAAGAGAAGGACCTCCTGAACCAGGTGGACATCAGGTTCGGATGGTCCTTGGCTCTTGGCTGGATCTCCTTCATCTCTGAACTCCTCACTGGGGCAGCATTCCTACTGGCAGCAAGGGTGGTTGGCTTGAAACGGAGACAGGACCAAGCAATATGAAAGAATCAAAGCAGGGAGAGTCTTGGTGCTGGAGAGAATGGGAATTGGTGGGAGGCACTTATTGGCTTTTGAATATTTGGTGTGCTATTGTTTCCTATTACTAAAAGATAGCCAGAAATGATTGCAAGAAAGCTCACTCTCCATTCCCCAGTGGACTTATATTATGGCTTGGCCACTGTCTTATTATATGTGCCACTCTTGCTCTTGTATCTACTATTTATCTATGTATGTGTGTAATTGTGTAGGCTAGGGTGGACGTTGTTCCTTATGTATAAGCCAGCGAGTCTGATGAAATGTAGTATGGCTTAGCTTTTGAGTGAAAGTCTTTCAGATTTCAGATTTCTGATACTCTTGTCATTTTCCATTATGTTTCACAAAACTCTTAAAATTCCTTGTTTGCCAGTTGTGTTCATAGCTTCTGTCTGAAGTGGAGATATATTGAATTTTTAAGTATACCCATTTTTATATATATAGTATATCCAATATGCAAATATCAGAAGTTAGAAGGCTGATACATTCAGGAGTGTTTATTCATATTGAAAAAAAAAAGGATTTTTCACTTTGCACTAAAGTTCATTACAGTGTTTCAAGTAGTCAGTCTCTTGCCATATTTAGAATAGAATTCCATTCTCACATTTTTGATTTTGTAGACTACTTGTTAGCACCACATCCAGTGCTCATAAAGTGAGGTATACCTGTGACTCAAAGGGGCTTTAATGAGAGTAGTAAGTGTTGTGGTCTCTGTGCTTCAGACAAGAAGCACACTTCCACTTTGGTGAAATAGCTACACTGCTCCTGGTTGGGTGCTGCTATTCTGATTGGTGTCATTATTTATTGATGTCTGGAATGGGGAGTGCCTTTCTCTGAAATGCTATTTATCAAGTTTCTTCTCAATAGATAATCCTCCTTATAGCATTTCCAGGCAGGGGTTCCTGACAAATGTTGTCCCTTATTGGTAGTACTATCCAAGTTCTTTGGAAGCTAATGGCAGCTCTCTTTCCTTGGGATAGGAAATATATCACCTGAACATGTTTAGTACAGATTTACTCAGTCTTCTAGGACAGGGATTCTTAACCTTTATTGTATCACGGACTCCTTTGGCAATCTGGTGAAGACTATGTACCTCTTTTTAGAATAATGTTTTTAAATTTATAAAACAAAATATACAAGTTCACAAAGGAAACCAAAAATTAATTAAAATAAAGATATATATATATATATATATTTTCCCCATACAGTTCATGGGAACTAGGAAATCCAAGGAGTCCATGGACCTCAGGTTAAGAACTCTTACTCTAGGAGGAAAAGATTAAAGAAAATCAAATAGTACATCCCCTGTGTCTAGACAGGATGTACAGGTGCCATTAGATGAATATGCCCCTACCTTGAAAGCACAGCTGGGAAATAGATTACCTATCTCCAGTGTCTGATAACCATATATTGCGGCCTGGAAGTTTCCTTATGCCTAACCTAGATCCTTCTTATTGCAATTACAATTACAAGTCCATTTCTTCATGCCTTAAAATCTGAGCCTCAGGTTTTTCTTTTTTAAGAACAGAGGTGCCCTGGATTTTTACAATAAATTGTGGAAACTTGTTTTTGGTAGTGGGATGGTTATCAAATAACAGGAAATGTAATAACCCTGGAGATAAGTTAGAATAGAAATGTATAAACACAATTGGGGATGACCTACAGATCCCTTGCCTTGTGTGCCACCTGAGAAGGCTGGAGCAAATTTCTGTTGATCATTTGGAAAAAAACAAACAAACCAACTTCCTGCATTTTCTTTAAATTCACTTTTTTAAAAAAAGTATTAAACATATATTTTGTTTTGTTTTTGCTTAGGCAATAGAGGTTAAGTGACTTGCTCAGGGTCACACAGCTAGTAAGTGTCAAGTTTCTGAGGCTGGATTTGAACTCAGATCCTCCTGACTCCAAGGCTAGAGCTCTATCGACTACACCACCTAGATGCCCCTTAAATTCACTCTTGAGAGCTAAGTGCTCTGCAGTCCAAGTCTGTGTTTTCTAAAAGTTTCATCTTATAATTAATTATCTTTCAAATTTATATTTAGATCCTAATTAAGGACAGAATAGTGACTAATATTTGGAGCAAGGAGGAATAATCAGCAATTTTGCAATGGACAGGGAAGAAAAATTAGCAAGCACCATTAGAAAGGAAGAACAATTAGTAAATACTTAGCAAGGAAAACATTTAGTAAAACAGCAAGGAAAAAAACAATCGTAAACTCCTAATTGGAAAAGGAAAGGCATTAAGGTATCATGGAAAGAGTACTGGATTTGAAATTAGAGGACCTATCTTAAATTTTGACTATCCTACTTACTATCTGTGTTACCTTTGGCAAGTTGCTAAACCTCTTTGAGCCTCAGTTTCCTCATCTGTAAAATGAAGGGGTTGGATTAGACATCCTCTAATGACCCTTTTAGTGCTAAATCTATGATGCTATGACCCACAAAGTCCCTTCTATATAATTCTAAGTTTGTGATGTTATGATTTGAAGAACAATAAGTAAACTCATGTAGCAAATAAAACTATACTATTTTGCTTTTCAATTCAAATGTGAAGTATTACCTTATATCATGCTTTACGTCTGGGTCAATGGTGCTTCCTTATGGAAGTGTTCATTGATCTTGCTATATTCAACATTGGGGCAGTTAGGTGTCACAGTGGATAAGAGTGCCAGGCCTGGAGTCAGGAAGACTTATTTTCTTGAGTTCAAAAATAGCCCTCACTAGCTGTATGACTCTGGGCAAGTCACTTCAATCTGTTTGCTTCAGTTTCCTCATCTGTAAAATGAGCTGGAAAAGGACATGGCAAACCACTACAGTATCTTTGCCAAGATAACCCCAAATGGGGTCATGAAGAATGGGACACAACTGAGATGACTGTTGATCATTTGGAACAAAAAACCCGAGCCACTTTACTAGTTTTACTAGTGATCCTGCACATATTTTTATGTTTTCTAATCGAGACAGAAGATATTATATTAATGCACAATTACCTTTATTTGGAGTATAAAGAGAAGAGCATTTCTGAATTAAGACTGATTGATAAATTTGTGGTTCTTCTCTTCTTATGTGCATGTTGGCTTACTTCTCAAGCTCCCAAGAAAAGAGGCTGCTAGGTATTACGATTTTTAGCTGTAATCTGGGTCGACATTTCCTCTTCTTTGAAATGAGGATTTTTAGATACTTTGAAGTCTCTTCCAGCTCTGACATTTTATAGCAAGATGATTTACATGGTAATGTAGCTAGCTGTATTTATGTCTACAGCTATGGGTCTGACCTTCAAAAAGGAAGATGACATAGTTGGCCCATTTTTCAGTAGGGACATGCAATTTGAGTTGTTTCCACAGGAGTGGCAACAGAATTCATTGAGCCATCTTCATTCTTGCTTAGTCTTCTTTGTGGCTAATGGGACCATCTGCCATACTGTAGTCAGCCAGGAAACAGCTTTTCTTGGCCTACGTTCGTTGGTCTCTATGGGGACTGAATTTATGACTTGGGCTTCATTAACATCTTGTTCTATCCAACTTGGCTTCAGATATTTCGACATTTATTAAACTCGCACATGTGTAAATGACTCTGTTTTCTTCTTTAGTTTTTTTCATTGTCTCTCACCCTAGGGTGGTGATCAAAAGGTTGGAATCAAGTCAGATTTAGTTCAGAGAAAGCTCACTGTGTAGGGCTGATATACAGGCTGCACTAAGGGTAGCCTGAGTCTACCAATATTCTACTCAACACCTGATGTCATGGAAAGTGGATATCTTCCCTTACCCTCTTATGGCAAATGGGAGTAATTTTTAACACCTGTGTATGGTTTCGATTTTCAGAAAATCATAGGGTTTACAAGGGTGGGGGGGATTTGTTCTGTGAAGTTTGGATTCAGTCAAAGGGCCACACTTGAGGACCTAGAGGGCCACATGTGGCCTTGAGGCCACAGGTTCCCCACCCCTGATTTAGGACCTTAGATATCATCTGGTATAGTCTCCTCATTTTAATGATGGAGAAATAGGCCCAGAAATTGAAAGGGACCTGTCCAAGATCATATAGCTAAGTTGGTGTCAGATTTGGGATATTAATATGTGAATCTCATGAGGAATTCAGATGACCTTTCAAAATCCCTCCCACATCTATGTTTCTATTAGCTAAACTTGTTTCAATTCATCCCAAATGGAGAGGGATGGATGCAGGTCCCATAGCAACACCATAGTTCAATGAGTCTTTAATTAGGATATTTTATTCCTTCTTCTGTTCCCTACAAAGTGTGGTTTCCTTATTTCTATCTCCTGCCAAATGAGAAGTTTCTATTTTGTCTCATTTCTAGTAGATCCCTGTGATTGTTCTTTTCCTCCCTTCTTTATGCCTCTTTCATGACATGAAGACTGGGGGTGGGGTAGGGGGGTGGTCTCAGAAAGGCTATGCAAGCTACTTACAAAGTTAGCAAGACATAACTTGCATTTGCTTACAAAAAAAATCCTTTGGTTTCATCCCAGAGCTAATGGAGACCTACCCACCAAATGGAGGATGGATTTGGAAATAGGGACCCAGTCCCTAAAAAGTCACTATTTAACTTTCAGAGCTCGGTGGGAACTCATCATTCTAAATAGGAGGAAGGAAACAAACATTTATTAAGCATGCTGCTATGTACCAAGCACTGTGCTAAGTGCTCTTAAAAATATTATCTCATGTAACACTCACAATCACCCTATGAGGTAGGTGCTGTTATTATCCCTATTTTACGGCTGAGGAAACTGAGGCAGATAGTTAAGTGAATTTCCCAGGGTCATACAGGTAATAAGTATCTGAGGCTGGATTTGAACTCAGGTCTTCCTGACTCCAGGCTTAGTGTTCTATCCACTGTATCACCTAGCTGCCCTTGCTAGGGTTTTTTTTTTTCTATCTGTGAGATTGCTCTTTCTCATATGCCAAATCTGTACAATGTCAGGTAAACATCCATATTTCTATAAGATATGACTGTACTTGAAGATTGTGTCCTTAGTTCCAATTAAGAGCTCATGCCAATATCTTCAGCCTTTGGGGAGGAATGGGGGCATGGCTCTTTCTCTTCCTCTTTCAATTCTTCTAATTGTCCCTTCCCTTCTGGTGGTCTTTTAGCAGTGACCTCACCCCAAATTCCCCATAGGTTGATCCTAGAGGAGGCTGGCACTGAGCAGAGACTGCTTGGGCCTTGTGTGTTTGTGACTCCCTTGCCTGTGCCCCCCAGATCCCACCCACAACCATTTGGGAGCTTTGATGACACATGGATAATTCAGAAGACAAGGCATAGGATCCAGATGAAGGAGGGAGAGGGACAAGTGAGAGGACAATGAGGGGAAGTCTGACTATGGAGGCCTTTTATATTTGAATATATATATATATCTTTTATATTTATTAATTTCCTTGATATAAGATAAATAAATCCTATACAGAGGATGATAAAGGAAACTAATTTTATTGAAATATAGTTATCAAAATACATTTAAAAATCAAATACACAGACTCCAGGCTAAGAAACCCTAATCTACTCTAACCTGTTATTCAATCTAGGAATTCCCTCCATGGTATTGCTGGCAAGGAGTCATCTAGCTGCTGTCTAAATGTTGCTCATGGACAAACCATAGGTTGAAGCGTAAGAGTAGAATGGTCTTCTTAACTTGTTCTACAGGATGAATATCCCTTCCCCAGAAAACCATGGGAGTTGGAGTAGGTAAGAGATGGTGCGAATAGTAGTTGGAGGGGGCAAAGGATGGAGAATCAGGGTCAGAGTACGATAATTTGAGGGCTTGAGTTGGGAAATGACAGGAAGAGTAATGAGAGGGCAGAAAATGAGAAGGTAAAAGGAAAAGATATTTACAAGTATTCATTAAATGTGAAACAATATATACACATGTAAAGAAATACAAAATATATACAAAGGTCAATTTTTTTGGAGGATGGGTGGTGGGAAGGAATAAGCAGCCATGGAGATCAGGAAAAGCCAAATGAAGGGGGTGGTGCTTAATTATGGAATCACAAATTTAAAGCTAGAAGGAACTTTAGAGATCATCCAGTCCAGTGATGTCAAACTCAAATCAAAACAAAGGTCATTAA